AGAAATTTGTCTCTCCCTTCTCTCTGTAACTCTGCTGTACAATAAGTATAATTCAATCTTTTCAAAGTGCTTGAAAAAACAACAGTGGATATAATCTTACAGTTTGCTATTTATTTTCAAAGGGGTGTTATTGTCTTCTGTTTGCTATCTGGGTCAATTTGGAGCAACCAGTGCCCTTCACTGGAAAGAGAGCCTAGTGCAGACCCAGAGACTTGTTGACAAGCACTCTGCCGCGTGTTACAGTAGAAATGGAAATCTTTTTTTTAGAAATGTTCACATTGTAAGTTTTTCCTGCAGGTGCTCCTTTTTTGTGTGTTTCTTAGTGATGTCTTGAGATCAATATGTAATGCCTTTAGAATTCTGAGTGTTAGATGCAATAACTTGGAATTTAGGATGCAAATTGTATATAGCGAATGATACTCAGGAGTACCCAGGACATAGACACCTGGATACCTGTGTGTGGTATCAGTGACTTGTAGTTTCACATTATTTTTTGTGCATCAGAAAATACTGAGATACGATTAGTATTCCTGTATGATAATGTCAAGGTGAGGAGATTCTGTTGCATTAATAAAATGAGAGAATTAAAGAGTCATGAATCTTACTCTGGTTTTTTTGATTTTGTTTCTTACTCTGTTTTACGTTAGTTCTAGAACATGTTTACGTGTTTTGGTCTGTATAGCGCTGATTCCTTCATTGTCTTGCCTGAAAGTGTGAAGGTTTCCCACTCTCATATTTATCTTTTTGTTTTGTTTGTATATAAAATAGGATATACATGCCAAGAAATTAACAAGTGCATAGATGAATGAAGTTTAAGTCATTACTCCAATTCTCAATGTTCAAATTAAGAACAAAGCATTACTAGTATTGAGTCCTCACTGTTCCCCATCTCCATTTTTTTAAACATGTGAAATAAGAGCATTTTGTCATTTATGTGATATGACTAAGTAAAGAAATATATATTTACCAATATATAAATACCAAATGCTCTGAAATCTACACAATTTTATCCTCTCTGAATATATAATTACTTTGTAAATAAGACCAAAATGTGTTTTTTTTTCTTTTTCAGTCTAGCTTATTTCACCATTTGTAATCTCCATTTGTAATCGTTTTGTTGCAGATAACAGAATTTAAGTTATGTTATGGTTGACTAATGTTCCATCTTTATACAATCCTTTGGATATCTGCGTTGATTCTTACCTTGGCTATTGCAAATTCAGCTGCTATAAACTTGAGAATGCAGGCAGCTCTTTGCATATGCTGCTTGCACTTCCATTGGCTATATTACCAAGAGTAGGCTAGCTGGATCATATAGTAGATATATTTTCATTTTTCTGGGAAATCTCTATGTTGTTTTCTATAATGGGGTTTTACCAGTTTACTTTATCACCAACAGTGGATTAGGGTGGTTTTTTTTCTCTTCATCTTTACCAACATTTGTTATATTTTTGGTTTTTGGATGATAACTATTCTAACTTGAGAGAAATGGTATTTCACATGGGTTTTGCTTCCGTTTCCCTGATAACTAATTGTCCTGAGAATTTTTTTTCATGCGTCTGTTGATCATTTGTATTTCATTCTTCAAAAAAATATATAATCATATCCTTTGCCAATTTAACTAGACTGTTTTGTTGTTTTAGCTCATTTATTGAAGATCAGTTGGTTGTAGATGTGTGGATTAATTGCTGGGATTTCTGTTCTGCTCCATTGGTCTATATTTGTGCTGTTTTTATGATAACATCCTATAGTATGTCTTAAAGTCTGACGTTGTAATGCCTCTGGCTTTGTTTTTGTTAAAGACTGCTTTGGCTATTCAAGATCTTTTGAATTTCCATAAGAATTTTATGATTGTCTTTACTAGAATATCCTTGGTAGTTTGGGGTTGCATCAAATCTTTAAATAGCTTCTGGTGGTATAGACATTTTGATTGTATTAATTCTACCAATCTACATGCTTCTTTTTCATTTTCATGTCTTCTAAATGTTGTGTAACTTCAATTGTAGAGATTTTGTACATTTATTACAATTTATTCCAGGGTATTTACATTTTTTTATGGCTGTTGTGAGTGGGACTGACCTTACAAGTTGATTAGAGCCTTGTTGATATGTGAAAATGCTGTTGATTTTTGTGGGTCAATTTTATAATCCTACAAGTTTTTCAGATTCTTTCATGAGTTGCAACAGTGTCTGGATTGCACATTATAGATCCCCTATGAAAGAATCATGTCATCTGGGAGCGATAATTTCACTTCCTCCTTTACAATTTGTGTCCCTTTGACTTCCTTTTCTTAACCACTGGCTTGGCTAAAACTTCGATACCATATTGAGTAATAATGAGAATAGGCATCCTTAACTGGTTTTGGATCTTAATGGAAGTGCTTTCAGCTTTTTCCCTTTCAATTTGATGATGGCTGGTTTGTCATATTGACTTAATTGTGCTGGGATTTGTTCTTTTTATGTCTGTTTTTAAAGGCTGTTTTCAGTCGTGAAAGGATGCTGTATTTCATCAGATGCTTTCTGTGCGGCCTGTTGAGTTAATTGTGTGATTTGTTTATTGAGTTTCAAATGTTGAATCATCCCTCCATCGTTAGAATAAATCCCACTTGGTGTATGCGTATGATCTTTCTGAGGTATGTTGGATTTGATTGTATTTTATTGAGGATTTTTGCATTTATGTTCATCAGGGACATTGGTCTGTAGTTTTCTTTGTATCTTTGTCTGGTTTGGGAATTAAGTTCTAGCCTCAGATAATCAATTTGGATGGATTCTCCTACTTCCAACACTTTAAGAAGAATTAAAATTATTTATTCCTTACAAGTTTGTTAGAATTCAGGAATGAAGTCATCCAGTGTTGCTATTTTCTTTGTTGGGAAGCTCTTCATTACTGATTCATTCTCAGTCTTGGTTACTGTCCTGTTTGGCTTTTATTTGTCACCATGCCCCTGTCTATTTTGGTAAATTGTATGTATACAGAAATAGAATCATTCCTTTTTTTATTTTCCAATTTGTTGACATATAGCAGTTTGTAGGAATTCCCAATTATCCCTTGCATTCCTGTAGTACTGTTTGTAATACCTTTTTTCAGCAGTGATTTTTTAAAAAACATTTTTCTCCTCTTTTGGGTATTGGGATGATGGTAACAATTTTGTTTACTTGTTTTAAAAAAATCAGCTGTTTATCTCACTGATCTTTTGCATAATTTTTTCATGTTTGTAGCTCTAGAACTTAACACTAACACTTAACTCTAAATGTTAGCTCAGTGAACAAATAGCAAATATTACTGTCACTGTTCAGTTTATTAGAACCTTTGTCATATATTTGTGATTTCCTTTCCCAAAGAATTAATTTATAACATCTCAAATTATTTTGCTTAAAGAATAATTAGAGTAATTACAAATATTTGACAAGTAGATTCATTATTATTAAAGCTAAAATCATTTTCCCATTACACAAGGAATCTCCCTTCTTACTGGCTGTCTGACCTCTATTTCTCCCCGACCCTGGCATAACATAAGAAGGGTCAGTCCTCAGAAACCTCTTCTCTATGTTAAGTTCAGTGTTCTATCCTGACTTTCTGGTTGACTGACAGTCACCCAGGCAGTCTGAACCTTTGACCCTGATAGTTCAATTGTAGTATGTCAGTACCAGGCACCCTGTTCCCAAATCTTTTTAAAGGCTAGGTTCCTAATGTTTTAAGATTTATTTTATTATTTTTTTTATTGGAAAGTCAGATATAAAGAGAGGAGGAGGGACAGAGAAGAAGATCTTCTGTCCATTGATTGACTGTGGTCAAGTGGCCACAGTGACTGGAGCCGGAGCTGATCTGAAGCCAGGAGCCCAGAGCCTTTTCCAGTTCTCCCACATGGGTGCAGAGTCTCAAGACTTTGGGCTGTCCTTGACTGCTTTCCCAGGCCACAAGCAGGGAGCTGGATGGGAAGTGGGGCTGCCGGGATATGAACTGGTGGCCTTATGAGATCTCAGCACATGCAAGGCGAGGATTTAGCTGCTAGGCTACTGTGCCAGGGACCCTAATGTTTTGTAACAACGATTCATTAAGGTATCTTCCTTGGCTTCTCCAATACGTAATAGTTACCTAACCTGACCCACCTTTGTTGCCCAGTTCTTATCAGATAGCCCTTCCTTAGCTTAATACCAAACTGATTAATTGTACTGCTTTGGAATTTTGACATTGTTTCTCTCATCATTCTTTGTTTTTAAGATGTATTTGTTTTTATTGGAATGTCAGATTTACAGAGAGAAGGAGACAGAAAGATCATCTGTCCACTAGTTCACCCCCCAAGTAACCACAGCAGCCAAAGCTAAGCCGATCTGAAGCCAGGAGCTTCTTCTGGGTTTCCTACTTAGGGCAGGGTCCCAAGGCTTTGGGCAGTCCTCTACTGCTTTCCCAGGCCAAGCAGGCAGCTGGAAGGGAAGTGGGACTGCCGGGACATGAACTGGCACCCATATGAAATCCCGGAGAAGCAAGGCAAGAATTTAACCACGAGGCTGTCATGCTGTTGGCCTTAGAGAAATAATAGTGGGGAAAGAAGAGGAACCATAGTACTTACTAAACGATACCTGTGGCACACATGCATATTCACTTGGCAAAGCTATGACTTGTAAGTGATAAAAATAGAATCAAAAAGTAAAACATCTCCAACCCAGGGAATGATTTCTCAGAAGTCTTCAGTGAAAGTCCACTGTGCTCAACAACCACGAGAAGCAAAACCAGACACAGTTCCTCTTCTCTTGAAAGACAAATCACATTTATACTATGGAGGTTTCACATTTTTCTTCCTCTTGCCGAATGCACTGTTTGATCAAACAATTTACATCTGACCTCTTTTTTTTTTTTTAATTAGGAGCAATATTCTTGTTGCTCAAGGTGTTAGTGACACTGGGGAAATATGAAGTCAAGGGGAGAAAACTTTCCTGTTGGTGTTACTTTCAGGGTCTCAGAATCTTAATCCACTTGTCATGTGTTGACTTTGATTCCAGTGGCCAAGGATGTCAATATCCTTTTTGATGAATTAGAAGCTGTGAATAGTCCTTGCAAAGATGACGATTCGCTCCTTCACCCTGGAAACCTGACCAGTACTTCAGATGATGCCAGCAGATTGGAAGCAGGGGGAGAGGTAAGAGTGTGTGCTTTTTTTTTTTTTATTGTTGCTTACATTGTATTATGTAGTACAGTTTTATAGGCGCTGGGGATTCCCCCCACCCTTCCCATACCCCTCCCCCCATGGTGGATTCCTCCACCTTGTTGCATAACCATAGTTCAAGTTCAGTTGAGATTCATTGCTTGCAAACACATGCCTAGCATAAAGTTCAGCGTCTTATTGTCCAGATAAGTCCAGTGGCCTCTTGGGGAGACCTTCTATGGTCTGAAGATAGGTCTAACAGAGTAAAGATCCGGTCAGTTAAAAGCCCCAACAAGGCCTCAGTATCAATATACAACATTATGGAATTAATTGACATAGTATTGGGTAAACAATATGTTAAAAATAATGCAAGTTCCCTTCTTCGAAACATCTGGGTTGAGACAGTATCAATGACAGGAGTGTGTGCTTTCTTAAAAGTGTAGTTCGTCTAGGTAGGAGCCTGTGTGGCATGCGCCAATAGACCATAGTCATGTTCTCATTAAACAGAAGGCCCATAGAAAATTGGGGTAGTTTGGTTTTTTTGGCCAGGGGGAGGGGGCTGGTGGGTTTTGTTATTGTTGTTCTAAAAAATTTTTATTAAAACTGAAGCCTTAAAGTGTAAATCATATTTTTTTTGACATAGAAATTCAACTTCTGCAATTATATTCTAAAGAGAATCTTGAGTAATTACCTAAAATAGTAAGCACAAATATTTGATAGTATCTTTAAACTTAAGACAATATGATACAATCCTTTGACTTTTGCCTGAAGTTCCTTTATTTGCTTGTGTATATATGTGTGTTTATATATATATAACATATATATGTGTATATATATAACATATACATGTATATATATATAACATATATATATATTATTTTTTTTACTATAAAGAACTGAAGGAGACAACCTGGTAGGCTCAGTCAGGAAAGGATGAGGGAGTAGGGAATCCAATTGCCTGATCTGGTCAGTTTTTGTTGAAATACTGCTCTGTGCCCTATAATGGTGTTTAAGTATTTCATGTTAAGTATTTTTTTAATAGTAAGTAGGGTTTTGTATCTTTGTACTGTATGGGTCTAGCTGGAAATGAATTTCAGTGGTGATGCACTTGCTTTCTTACTGCTAAAGTATTGTATTTATACAAAGGAGAGGACTTTACCCCCACCCCATCATTCCAGGTAATCTATAGAAAAAGTGTTGCTAACCAGTGAAGTGCTTTACAAGAGTGGACTTCCCTGTGTGAGTCTCCAATACTTAGAATAAGGACAGAGAAGGCGTCAGTCTTCAGTACATGGTGTTGGAAGCCTCTCTGCATTTCTGTTTGTCTCTGTAACTGAAAACTTCATTGCAATTGTAAATACACTCATCTGTTCACATGTCATTTTGGAAAAAGAAGTATTTTGTCTGGAGCATTCATTGTTGTTCAATGCTCAGTGGAGTTTAAAAGATCTCCTTTATTCAATCCCTGGATACAGATAATAGGCACACTTAATCAGTTTATTGGGCTTTTTCAATTATCCATTGAAAGAATGATACTTTTGAGGGATCTTTAGAGAGGGAAAACTATTTATTTCTAAGTTTTGCTCACCTCCCCTATATACAATATGTCAATATCCATGTCTTATTTCCAAAATAAATAAATAAAGGCTGGTCCAATTATCTTTGTACAGATTTATTGTCTGCTGTAATGTGGACTAATGAAGGCATCTTGGCAGGGATCTCATGCAGCAGTTAGATCATATGTCTGAGTGGGAGATGGAGAGATAGAGAGACCATCTCAGAAAGTTTAGGGCTCTGCTGAAGGCAGCACAGGTGCACTCAGGACCACTTCTACCTTTGGTGCCTTGGCTGAAGCCCTGTTGTTGAAGCCAGATACTGATAAATCCTCAGAGTCATCTCCTTGCCTGGCCAGTACTTGTTTTTTTTTTTTTTAAAGATTTATTTTTATTATTTTTTCATTGGAAAGGCGGATATACAGAGAGGAGAGACAGAGAGGAAGATCTTCCGTCTGATGGTTCACTCCCCAAGTGAGCACAACGGGCCGATACTATGCCGGTCCAAAGCCAGGAGCCTCTTCCGGGTCTCCCACACAGGTGCAGGGTCCCAAAGCTTTGGGCCGTCCTCGACTGCTTTCCCAGGCCACAGGCAGGGAGCTGGAAGGGAAGCGGGGCTGCCGGGATTAGAACCGGCGCCCATATGGGATCCCGGGCGTGCAAGGCGAGGACCTTTAACCACTTGCGCCACCGCGCCGGGCGCGTGGCCAGTACTTGTTAATGAAACATTTACTCTGGTACATCCCTGAGTGCCTCTACAGGGAAAAAAAAAACTCAAAAATTCAAGCTGAGGCATTGTTACTGGGCACTTTCTCTGCTCCTCTTGGTTGAAGCTGCCTATATAAGGCGTGCGCACAAATGTAGTTTCTCGCTGTGACTTTGGAGGTCTGACATGTTTGCCTTCCTCATACTCTTATTTAGAAAATAATATATGCTGTGCCCTAGAGAAGACATTAAGCTCCATTTCCATTTGGCCAGTTGCACAAAATATTTTAAAATCTCTTAGCCTGCGAAATCCAACCCTATCAGCCCTACTTGATGGTCTCTTCAGTAGTGTCTATTATTACCTTGAGGTTGAGGAACCTCAATGAAAAGCAACCCAACCCTTTCACTATTTGTTTAATATGCATGGTATTTGATTATTGCAAATAATATGTTCTATGTGAGTTTTGAAGCATAAAAACAAATGAAGCATTTTGAAACCACCAATCAACTTATGAATTAGACTTGTGCTTTTCAAATTTTTGATAACCTAGTTATGGGTTATTTATTTTATTATTTACTTAATTATTTTCTTGTAGAGAGTTGTTTATTTAATTGAAAGGCAGGATGACAAAGAAAGGAAGACAAAGAAATATTTTCCATCTTTTGGTTCACTCTGCAGTTAGTCATAGCATCCAGGGTTGGACCAGCAGGGCAAAGGCAAAAGCGAGAAACTTCACTCTGGTCTCCCATGTGGATGGCAGGAACTCAGGCACTCCGACCATCATCAGCTGCCTCCTCCAGTGCATTAGCAGAGAGCTGGCTTGAAAACTGTGCCTCTGCTCCTTTAGAAATATGTCCGTGGAAATAAAGCCCCCGTGACTTTTTAGCTTTCATTGTGATTTTTATAGTTGGTTCAGTGGTGGTTTCTTCCTTTTCATCACGACACGATATTCAATTGTGGTGACATTTTAAACGTTCATTTGTTGCCTATCCATAAATACTCAAATATTTTAAAATATTTTAAATAATTAAACATATTTTAAATATATTGAAAAGATTCTGGCATTATGAACAGTGTTGTTACAAATAGTCATCTACATATCTTATTGCCTTATTACAATTGTCTGTTATGCAGATGTTCACTTTCACAAGATATTACTGGTGTTTTTGAATGAGCACTTTACAAGATGAGAATTCAGTTCTGCATGCTTACCAACCCTTGAAATTTTTAGGTACATTTTGCCTTTTTGACCCAATGCTTTGCTCAGTGTTAAGTTTCTCTTAAATTTTCATTAATAAAAATGTGATTTTAATGAAATAGTGGAAAATGATTTAATGCTCATTGTTCTTTAACCTGACTCAGTGGAAGCTCTGTTTTATGTGACTTAAACTGGACCCTCTTTCTTGTGTGCAGACAGTGCCAGAAAGAAACAAATCCAATGGACTTTACTTTAGAGATGGAAAAGGTCGAATTGACTACATTCTTGTGTACAGGAAATCCAACCCTCAGACTGAAAAGAGAGAAATATTTGAAAGAAATATTAGAGCGGAAGGATTACAAATGGAGAAAGAGGTAAATAGCTTGCTTGGATGACACAAGAATATATTCATATCAAGAATCGATTTCTTTTAAAGTAAGTAGCTAATCATTATGTCAACTGAATGTTTCACTTGGTCTTAGTTTGTATGTTTGCAGTATTTTGGAAATGTTCTAGCAGTCAGCCTTGTTCAGTGCACCTTTGAGAGCATCTTTGTACCAGCAAAGATGAAAGACAGTTGCTCTTCTCTGGAGGCTCTTGGGAAACATAATGAGCTTGAGCACCCTTGCGTATCAGAACAGACAGTCTTGCTGATTGGACCCCAAACTGAACATACAAAATGGTTCTTCTTTTTAAGAGACACTTGGGGTTTTCGTTGTCTGTTGTTTTGTTTTAGCAGATTTTCAAGCTTGCAAGATACCAGGACAGTGTTTTGTTCGCCAACTTCTTTCATCTTCTCCTCTTGGGGAGTTTTAAGAAAGACCTAAGGAAGGAAGGTATAAGTGGTCCAGCCAGGCCTGTGATAATAATCCACAGGGGGGATATTGTGCACCTAGAAAGAGTGTATGTATGTTTAGAACTTGGACCTAGTTACATAATTTCTTAGTTACATAATTTCCACAGTTTTCTCTAAGCATTATACAAAGCTTTTGGAGTCTGTTACAGTCAACAAGAGGAACATTTGGGCACTTACAGATGTTTTCTTTTAATGCTTCTAATTCTGTGCCTCAAGGCTGAGGACGTAGATGAGTGAGACATTCAGCTTTTTCATAGAACAGTGCAGCTTACAGTTCATACAACTTATAAATTACTCCAAGGTGTTAAGTATTAGGACATGAAATGGCCACACCTGTGCCTATTTTGGGAGCATTAAAAAAAATGATATTGTGCCAGAGCTGTGTCCCTTTAACTCCTGAACATGTATAACGCTGAAGTAATATTTTTGTCCAGTGCCTCAGAAAGAAAGATAGTGAAATGGGTATGACCTTAAGGGAACAGGTTCATATTCTCAAGAAGCAAGTTTCTCACAAGTCTGTCTCTTGGGGAGTGAATCATCGAATGGAAGATCTTCCTCTCTGTCTCTCCTCTCTGTATATCTGCCTTTCCAATACAAAAATAATAAAAATAAATCTTTAAAAAAATAAAAAAAACAAGTCTGTCTCAAGAAGAGATCCCCCTATTCAGAGCAACAAGCAAAATTAAATTCTTGGTTTTTCCAATCTTTGTGGGGTTCTAGAAAAGCTTTCTATTTATCGATTGAGCCTACCCTTGATAGATACTGGTCTTTAAATTGTTATTGAGACATTTGTCTTCCCTCCATTCTTAACACCAACAGCACATTAATATTTTTATCTCTAGAACCATGTTTATCATTTATTTTTACTCTTAAGAGAAAGAATTTTTATATGCATAAAGAAACTGTGATTTGCCATATAATATGAAATAGTATAGCCTTTGTGGCTTTTGATTTTTACCCAAATTAGATAACTGTTTCATGAAAAATTCATAGTTTAAGCTTCATAGCTGTTTTCTTCGTTCTTCGGAGTTCTCCTGCACAGGACGCTTCAATGTCATTAAAGCCCAGTAGTTGTCCAAATAATGCATATCGCTGAGCAGAGGACAGGTCTGTTGTGTTTGCTGGAGCATAGTCTCTGTTGTGATATCCAGTACCAGAATTCGAGCAGGCTGCTGAGGAAGAATGTGCTGCCTGTTGTGTGAAGGTACTGGAAAGGGGAACAGCCACCGTGATGTAATGGCAGGATTTTAAAGAGCATATGATGAAAGTTCTTCAAACTCACCTAAGCATATTGGGCCCATCATTTCCCAAAAATTTTTCTCCGGCAGCAGCTTCTTTATTTTTCTTTTTCTCTTCAGTCCTTGCTGTCCTGCCAATAGCTAGGTCTTTCTATTTCTAGAACCTTGTTCTCCAGTCATGTGTCCCATAGCCAGTTCCTAGTCTTGCCCTGCCACCTACAGCCTTGCTAAGGTGAGCTCAGTGTGGCTGTGACTCAGCGTTGTTACCCAGGTTCATGTCCCCTCAGCCTCAGCCAGGTCAGGAAAAAAAAAAAAAAAAAAAGAAAAGGAAACTTTGCAGCTTCTTTTGCTTAGGGGGCAGCAGAAAATTATAGATAACATATCCCTGCTACAAATAACTTAAAAGAAGAAAGTTCCTTTGGTGGAGCAATAAACATGTCTTCTTGTATCTCTATGTTGTGTTACAAGGTTCAGACACCACTGGAAGCATATTTTTCTGAATCTCATTTTTTATAGGGATCCGCAGAAGAGAAACAGCCATTTTCATGATTATTTTGGCTTCCACAAGTTATAGAATGCAGAGCAAACACTGAGTTCAAGGTAGAAAAGAAAACAAAATCCACAGGAGCTTCACTTATAATCCTCCATGAACATCTGAAATGGCGGGCACTAACTACATTGTATGAATTGTTAGTATCTTGCTTGTTAGCTGGGGTTCTGATCTTCACCTGTTATGGAAATTACAGTTCACAGACACAAATTTATTCTTCCACATGGATAAAGACAGGCTCTGTAGTGGGATTTAATGTAAGGGAGATGTTATCTCCTTTTTAAACACTGGAATTCAGGAAGCACAATGAGTACAGTATGTAATTCATTATGAAAGAAGGAATGTCATCAAATTTATTATTTCATAAAATTTTTATCCAATATCAAGTAAGCGCTTACTGAATTAGTAGTCTCTTTGTAACAGGCTTCAGTGCAGCTTTCATACACATAAGATTGGCTTCTTGATGTCTGTTTAAACTGATTGCTTTGTTAAAGTATGCTCACATTAATTAATTTCCATTTTTATTTTTCCATTTTAATTCTGTGTTGGGCCTTTATTACCTATTTTTGAAATCATTATCATCTGGAAGATGTGTATGTCTTCCTTTGTGTAGCTAGTCAAACCATGGGTGGATTCTGAAGTCTTTGCAATGTATGAGTGGAAGTGTGTTAATAAAGTAGACTCCACCTTTACAGCCAAACATAATGTAGAAGAAGACCCTTGTTATAGTCACTTCAAAATAACTATAATTAGCTCAGTCATACCACCTTGATAATAATTAATTCACTCAAGAAATATATACTCTATGGTGTGCACGGCTTTAAGCATGAGAAACTTGCAAGGAAATAACAGAGACAAAAATCTTTGTTGAAACTTCACAAAATAATTAAGTAAATTAGTTAAAATACCAGCAGACACCAAGGAGAAAAGGGGAAAGCAGGAAGTGTTGAGAAGGACTTGCAGATTGGCAAAGGTGAATCTGTGTTCCAGAGCAACCAAGTGGCAAGTAAAAAGGCCCAAGGGCAGGAGCATGCCTGGTGTGTTCACCAGACAGTGAGGGGGCTGGTATGACTGAGGCCACTGAGCAATGAATTACACCAGGAGGACTGCTGAAGCCCCATTGGACCTTAGTAATTGCTGGGAGATTTTTACACAGAGAGGCACTGGAGAATTTGAAAATTTTCTTTAATTCATTTATCTGAGATTTGGGAAAGGGTGGAGGGTGCTCATCTTCTGGTTCCTTTCCAAATACTTGCAATGCACAGAGCTGTGCCAAGCTGAAGCCAGGAACTCAATCCAAGTCTCCCACATCATGGCAGGAACTCAACTGCTTAAGCTATCAGTGCCTTCCATTGGGAAATTTTGAGCAGAACTATGAGAAGATCAATTTTATATTGGCACTTTGGTTCTCAAAAAGAAAAATAATGCAGTTTGCCAAAATAGTTTCTTTCTGCTTTCACTCATCTCTTAGAACTGATAAGTATAGATACACATACACTCCAGGTTGTTTACCTTGGACATTTTATGTTTGAAATAGTGACAAAAAATACTACTGTTAGTTTTCTCACAGTAAGTGGTTAATATTATCATTCCCATTCATTTTACAGATGAGATAATTGAAGCAAAGTATTACTCTCTGCTTGCCCCAAGTGATATGGGCTGTAAGAGACAAAAACAAGATTAAAAACTTAAGTATAATTACTCTTTAGCATTATATTGTGTTGATTCCTGATACCAATTTCAGTATTAAAGAGGTTGGAAAGGATCCGGCACAAGGGTTCAGTGACTAAATCCTCGCCTTTCAAGTGCCAGGATCCCATATAGTGCTGGTTCGTGTCCTGGCTGCTCAACATCCCATCCAATGCTTGTGGCCTGGGAAAGCAGGAGAGGATGGCCCAAAGCCTTGGGACTCTCTACCCACTTAAGAGACCCAGAAGAAGCTGCTAGCTTCTTGCTTCAGATCTAGTCAGCTCTGGCCCTCGTGGCCACTTGGGGAATGAATCAGCATATGGAAGATCTTTCTCGTTCACTCTTTCTGCAAGTCTGTATTTCCAATAAAAATAAATACATCTTAAAAAAAAATAGATTGGAAGATAGGCTGAGAATACAGAATTATATAAAGCAAAAGGGAAAGAAAAAGGAATTATGGTGTGAATAATAAAGTTGCCTGCCCTGATTAATTCTTAGGCATGTGGTCTCTGATAGTCATGGATTTGAATCTTGGTACAACCACTTACAAACTCAGAGGTCTTGGCAATTTATTCAACTTCTCTGGATCTTAGTTATTTCTCAAAAAAAAAAAAAAATTGAGAAATGGAGGAAGAGAAAGAATACTATCTACTGGTTGATTCCCCGAATCTCGAATGTTCACAGTGGCTGGGGCTGAGCCTAGCTGAAGGTGGAGCCTGAGAGCTCAGTTCTCATCTTCCATATCAGTGACATGGACTAGGCTACTTTGGTCGTCACCATTGCCTCCCAAGGTGCACATTAGCAGAAAGGTGTAACTAAGATCAGAGATGGGACTCAAATTCTGGCGCTTTGAGATGCTAAATTGCATCTTCCCTTCAAGACCAAAAACCTGCCATGCTAAGATTTTAGTAATGAGGATGTTATTTACCTTGAGTTGTTGTCAGCATTAACTGAGCTTTTATATGTCAATACATAAAATACTAGTGTAAATCACTCTTCTGACTTATTTTTGCTTTTTATTTTATAACAGTTTGCTTTTAG